ATCCTGCAATGTAGGTCAGATAGAAAACAACCAAGTTAAGACTGTAGGCAGATGTTAATTTAACCAGTGTCTATGGTAATTTAACACGTGACAGCTTGCCATCTGTTTGATTTCTGGCTTTGTCCTTGGAGTTAACGTCTCCTGCAGCAGGAGATGTTTGTTCCTGCAAAGCATTCAGGTTTGTGCAAGAATTTCAAATTATTGTTATGGACAAACCTCAAGCACTTCTGGACTCATTTACATAAACCATTTTGGTGGCAGAGGTGGGATGTGTGGGATTCAACTGTCACAGTAATATCTTTGATGTGTTTCATAGACCAGTGATTCTGTGATATGTTTTGGCTGAGAGAAAGGATGAAGAGTAATTGGATTCATCTTCAGTTTTTCCCCCAGTGTGGAATATGTACCAAAATTTCACGCTAGAAACAAATTTTGGTTTAGGATTCTCTTTTTGAGACCCCACCTGGAATACTGCATCCAGCTGTGGGGCACTCAACATCAGAAGGATATTGACCAGTTTGAGCGAGTCCAGGGGAGGCCACGAAGATGCTCAGAGGGCTGGAGCACCTCTGCTATGGGGACAGGCTGAGAGAGTTGGGCTTGTTCCGCCTGGAGAAGAGAAGGCTCCGAGGAGGCCTTATAGCACCCTCCCTACAAGGAAGCTGGGGGGGACTTTTTACAAGGGCATCCAGTGATAGGACAAGGGGTAATGGGTTTAAATTGTAAGTGGATAGATTTAGATTAGATATCAGGAAGAAATTCTTCCCGGAGAGGGTGGTGAGGCACTGGAACAGGTTGCCCAGAGAAGCTGTGGATGCCCCATCCCTGGAAGTGTTCAAGGCCAGGCTGGATGAAGCTTTGAGCAACCTGGTCTAGTGGAAGGTGTCCCTGCCCGTGGCAGGGGGGTTGGAACTAGATGGTCTTTAAAGCCCCTTCCAACCCAAACCATTCTATGATTCTAGATAATTTTAGTGTTAGTCTCCTATAACTCTGTATGAATATTTGAGACATATTGAAAAATTAGTGATGCTGATGAATAAAAAAAATGATGATCTTTACTGGACATATGTAAATTGTGATGTAACATTTTACATTAAAACCAGAATTTAGGTCATCTAAACATCTGGTGCTTAGTCTGAGCCAGTTTAACCAGCAGATATCCTTAGCTCACCTCTCCTAATGGACAAAATGGATTCTGGGGAGACTGATAGCCAGCAATATGGATAGAAATGCAGGAGTCGTAGCAGAGCTTCAGCTTGCTTATACCTGTTGCCCCACTGCAATGCAGACATAACTCTTGAAAAGTAAATTGTAGATGGTGTTGCCTTCTCCCCAGACTCAAGAAACACTTGAGCTGTGTGTTAAATGTGCAAACAGTGTGGATTCAGGGTTTCGACAGGATATAGAGCTTTCTATTCAAAGAGGAACATTTATCCTTTTTCTTCCCTGAGTGGTTAAACATTTAAATATTATCCAAAAGAGGTATGGAAAGCTCTTGAAATAAACAAAGAAAATTCTAAACCTCACATAGCAGGCTGGCTAGAAGAGCCATTTGCCAAGTGGCTAACACTATACTGAAATCCTGAGTATATACAAACTATAGAATATATTAATCTCTTGATATTTTTCCATTGTCTCCTGTTATGAGGCAAAAGAGTTGTTTGACGAGACCTTTCAGATGTTTGAAATAAACAACATTAATATAAAATGTTGGATTATTCTAGGTGTTAAAATAACATTAATTGTAGTCACA